AACCAATTATACTCGTCCACGTGTACTGGCACAGCTGGTCAATTCTACTTCATCAAAATAATCTTGATTGTTACAACTTTCTAGCGGACCTGGTACATTCGATCAACCAATTATACTCGTCCACGTGTACTGGCACAGCTGGTCAATTCTACTTCATCAAAATAATCTTGATTGTTACAACTTTCTAGCGGACCTGGTACATTCGATCAACCAATTATACTCGTCCACGTGTACTGGCACAGCTGGTCAATTCTACTTCATCAAAATAATCTTGATTGTTACAACTTTCTAACGGACCTGGTACATTCGATCAACCACTTATACTCTTCACGCGTACTGGCACAGCTGGTCAATTCTACTTCATTGTGATGTTCTGACCCACCGTGCTTGACAAGATCAACGAGCGACAAGTCAGTGGCCGAAGGTGGATAATTTCTGTAGATCAGCATGATGCATATATATTTTTTTCTTCTCTTCTCTGTCTACGATGTCGTTAGATCGAGCGTTTGAACGAAAACTTCGGGAAGGCTCGTTAGTACATAGATTTGATACACCATAAACTACATTATCTTCCCTGCTAATTAGAACTGTCGAATGTCATTTATGGAAGACAATTTATGTTGAAACGTTTTTTTTTAATCATGTCATTTGTCAGATGTTCTCAAGTACATAAAATATTTGAGAAGTTTTACATCCTTATTTACAACGATTCATAAAGTGTAAGAAAGTTCAATTCTGGATAGTAAAATAAATGTGTCTTTTGAAGTTATATTCCTAGACAAGACTTAAAAAAATAATACTTAGACTGGATATTAAATGTACTGAAATTTTATTCCATATACATTAATTCAGTTGGATATATATATACGGATTGAGTGTTGATGGTGTAATTCTTGAATTATTTACGTCGTGAAGCCTTTGGTTGTAAATGAAAATTAATAAGAGGATCATTTTAATGAATTATATTTTATATTTCTGAAATAATGAACAAAATGTTTGAATGTTCAAAACTATGAATTATAGAGGAGATTAAGCAGGAAAACCTTTTCATGATCTGATTGTTTTTCAGGTCTCAGGAGAACAAATGGCTTCGTAAACTATTTATCGCTTTGGTAATCTTAACAACAGCCCATATTCGAAAGCGCTCGAGTTTTGGGTCTTATTTTAAGTCTATTACACTTTATATGTGATCATTTGTAATAACTCTTTTATCAAAAATACAGTCCATAAGAAGTGTTATCTAAAAATAAAACGCACAGAATAATAGTAAAACGCTATTCTCAATTATTCATAATAAAAATGTTATTTTGAGTAAAACCACTATTATTATTATAATGTACTCACTATAAGACACAAACATAAAACAACAGTTGAATAACACAAGTGTAGTATACTTAGCTTAGATTCAAAGTGATCAAACGTTAGCCATGAACATAAAAAATAGTTGAATAACATAAGTGCGGTATACTTAGCTTAGATTCAAAGTGATCAAACGTTAACCATGAACATAAAACAATAGTTGAATAACACAGGTGTGGTATACTTAGCTTAGATTCAAAGTGATCAAACGTTAACCATGAACATAAAACAATAGTTGAATAACACGGGTGTGGTATACTTAGCTTAGATTCAAAGTGATCAAACGTTAACCATGAACATAAAACAATAGTTGAATAACACAAGTGCGGTATACTTAGCTTAGATTCAAAGTGATCAAACGTTAACCATGAACATAAAACAATAGTTGAATAACACAGGTGTGGTATACTTAGCTTAGATTCAAAGTGATCAAACGTTAACCATGAACATAAAACAACAGTTGAATAACACAGGTGTGGTATACTTAGCTTAGATTCAAAATGATTAAACTTAAATCTTTTGTGTTTTCCGATATCTCTCCAAGAGGATGAAAATCATTTCCTTTACTTAGTTACCATTGGTATAACATATACCAACCTCAAACTCTGGAGGAAACTTGTATTTTATTGCATACCAATCATATCACTATTATCCATTTTTCTCTGCAACTGTCATAGACGTAAGGTAGTCTACCATTTCTTTGCGTCACTCAGTCTCCGATTGTCTTCTTTCATCTATCAATGGGTCGATACTACAGTCCGTTACCTTGGCAATGCTATCTATCTTACCATTTTTATCAGATACAAAATCAATAACATTTACATCTCGGTGATACTTAACGTACATCTTGTGCGCTTAGTAAAATACTTAAAGTGAAATATTAGTTAGCAAGTGTTATCTTTTGGTCTGAAAGTATTTAAGATGAAGTATTGGTAAACAACGTTACCATTTGGTCTAAAATACTTAAAGTGAAGTATTGATGAGCAGTATTATAATTCATTTTAAAATACTTAAAGTGAGTATTGATGAACAGTGTTATAATTCATTTTAAAATACTTAAAGTGAAGTAATAATGAACAGTGTTATAATTCATTTTAAAATACTTAAAGTGAAGTG